ATGTGTAAACAATAGCAAGGATTGACACTTCATATATATAGATTAAAGTTAAAAAAAAAAAAAAACTAATAGCTTAATAAGACTTTTTTTAAATCCAACGATTGAAATTATGTGTAACACTCAAAATTTTATCATAGATTTTTATGACATCTTGTTGTGAACTCTGTGATTGTTATGTGTTTTATGATTTTCTCATGACAATTAAGGGGATTTAGATATCATAAACTCATGCGTCATCTGCCGAAATTATCGTCTGAGGGTAATTTTTCTCGAAAAATGTTAATTGGAGCAAAATTAGTAAATTAATTCTGAATGAAATTTATAATATTGGATTCTTAATCGGAGTATCAAAATTAGTTAAGAGTGTAATTTTTATAAACATTCCATTTCAGGGCCATATTTACAAATTTGGCAAAATACAGAATGGAAACAAAATTTTTTGAAAATATGAGACCCAAAATGTGATTGCAAAGAATGTGTGGGTTAAAACATAAAAGCTGATGGAGTTTTCAAAAGTTTTTGATTGGTTGTTTGGGAGTCACTATACACCACAACCAATAAAATTTTAATTGTGTTAAAAAAAAATTAAATACTAAAAAAAGAGAGTATATCGATTATTTCAAAACATATCTCTCCTTCCTCTCTTTCACGCTCTCACCCTTACTCTCTTTCTCAGAAAAATAAAAAATCACGTAACTGTGTAGAAGAGCCATAGAAAACCCACCAAATACATTCAAAACTCTAATATTCCATCAAAATCTTTCTCCCAACTCATAGTACAAACACCCTCCCCTTGATTTCCTTAAGTTGGAGATAATTTTTTAGCCCTAGAAAGCTCTCAAAAATTGGGTTCAAGCCCCTATCCGATAATAAATGTTTGTAAATTGATTTTGGTAAGTTTTCCTCTTCAATACTTATTCATTGATCAATTTCTTTTGTTGGGTGAGTTCTAATCCGTTTTTTAATGATTATGCATGGTATCTAACACCTCCAAATATACCATTCAAGCCAAACACATTTTTTCAATCTAATCCACGAGTTCATCATCAAAATGAAGCCAAACTTTGTTGTTTCTTTAAGGGTGAGAGTCCTCAATCTTTAAAAACCCATGGGACTGAGTTAGATTGCGTATATTGATAATGGAGTTTAATTTTTGATGATCATTAAGCTTATTTTCTAGTTGTTTGAAGTTTGCTTGCCGTATGTTTGATAAAATGATCATGAGTAAGTTTTTGTGACCAATTGTGAAGTTTCTATTTTTTTCGGTTATTTTATATATTGTTTTATCTCATTCGATCTACCTATAATATATTATTAATATTTTCGTAGGAGTCGACGAATCTATTTCTTGATAAAAGTTGCTATATGGTCAACATTTGTACTATTAGATATGGAGTTGATACTTTGATATTAACGACCGGTTAAATATATGAATTTTTATGGTTAAAAATTAAGCTTATAGTTATTTAAATATCTGTAAATATGTATGTAATTTGAGTGTCATACTTGATGACGAATGGTTAATTTCGATGACGGAAAGTTTGACAAAACAAAGATTTTGGTTGGTTTAGTTAAAAATTCAACTATTCATGCTAGATTATATTTTTGGCAATGTTGAAGGATAAGGAAAGCTCACGTATGAGGTTGTGTTCTTTTGATTTTTTTAAAGAAATTATATCTATAAGATTTAAGGATTTTAATTAAATATTTTAGTTTGATGGATTTTCTTTTAAGAAAATTACGGTCATATTATGAGGAATTATTGTGTTGTATTGCATCTATATTTAAAGTAGTTAGTCTACTCGTTTAATGAGCTTTCTAGCTCACTAGGATTCCTCGTGTTGCAGAAAAAAAGAAAGAAAAATGTCAAGATAGAAGCTTTGTGATCGGGAAAGCGAATTGAAGTGAATGCGCAATATGAGATAAGACTTGTAGTGGCCAAACTTTGATATTGGTTTTTGAGAATTGACCTTATGGTTTTAATACGATTTCCGCAAAATTATGTTTTTAATTAAAAAAAAACCCTTTCATGCACCTTTTTCCTTTTAAGTTTTAGAATTTTTGTGTTTTGATTAAAGATTTGTAAGCTTTTAAAAGTTTAAATATTATGCATTATTATGACTATGTTATATATGTGTGTGTGTTTGTATGAAAAAAAAATAAAGATCCACAAATATAGTATGATATGTATGTACGTATATTATGTTTTCCTATCATGATTTATCGCCGGCCTAGCATAACAGGTGGTTGACGGTGGGTCGTGACACTATGTCCAATTGATATAATATTTTTCTATACCATATCAAAAAGTTATCCTAAAATACATGTTAAAAAATGTAAACATAAATATTTTTACTTTTAAAAATATGAGAATTTTTACGGTATAATTTGTCCCTTTTAACTACCAGCAAGAATCATTGTTTTAATTATGAGATTAAATTTTAACCATCTGATACTTGAGTGTTCATATTAAAATTTTATAATGCGCGACACATAATTATTTCAGTCATACATTAGATCATTGAAAACTTAATCTAACGATTGAAACAACAATTCCTATTTAATCTAAACTTTCGACTTATCAATCTGGTTTTTCATATCAAACACGTATCACATGATCTTTGATTAGCAATGAACACACATCTCACATGCACACGTAGCTAGAGAATAAATGATTTACTTTTCTTTGAATAGTGTCCGATCTTTATTCTCTTTTGGTTTTTAGAAAATTCATGTCGTATTTAGAATTATTATTGTTTTTATTTTTCACGTTTATTGAGAAGAGAAAAAATAAAAACGATTACAAAACGGCGTTTGACATAATTAAAGACAAAAAACAGAAATAAAAATAATTTTTTAATTTAGTATAAAATAAGAGAGAAATGAGAAATGACTTTTAGTTCTTTTTCATTTTCTATTCTCTCGAGTAGAGAAAGACATTAATAGGTTTTTTTATGCTGAAAATAATCTCTTGATAAAACTACTAAACACATTTTTAAAAATAATTTATGTCTAAGATTAAAAAAATTTTCATTTCTATTTTCATACAAAAAATAAAATTATTTTAAAACGAATTCCAAACACATATTTTGTGTGTATTTCCTGACTTTTATTTTTACCGTTTTGACCTTAATTTCTTATTTCTTCAATGTTTTTGCTTTGAGCGCTTTCGTCTTTTTGTCAAGCTAAAATATTAATCACTAATCACTTTTTTCTTTCTTTCTTTTTTTCTTTTAAATTTATAATTTCTTACCTTCTTTTGCGGCTACTCTGAAGCTCATCACCAACCCCCAGCTACCTAGTTTTGTGAACCACACCGGGCCACATCTAATATTGCCACACCAGGAAACGACGACAGATTTTATTTGCCGGTCCATATCAAATATTGCCACGCGCTCCTCAAATCGCCACGTACTGTTCGAAATTATGAACCTCGATTTTTTTTTTTTTTACATTCTTTTTCTTTTTGTTAGTAATTTCGTTATAATTACGCGCATAAACTTTATTGAAACGAATAATTTGTTACAAAAAGAGTCCTTTTCACATTATTTTCTTTTATTAAAACGAACAAAAAATATAGAAAATATTCTTATCAAATAATAACAACTTTATATATTAACATCTTGAAGTTTTGGATCACATATTACTATGAAACTCAATTAGTGACTTATATACTTTTTAGCTTAACAAATTTATAACGTGACATATCAACAAAAGACCAATTCAAAATTCTCACTATAGAATTTTTGTTTTTATTATTGAAATTCTACGTGACATCAGGATAAAACTCTCTATTTAAGGACAAAATACTCTTAAGATTATTTCAATTTTTTTGATTTTTTTTTTAAAAGTCAGACCGATTCTTGGGGTAATATTATACAAAACATAGTTAAATGAGAATGTTGTCTTAATTCCTAAAAGAAAAATAAAGAAAATAAAAAGCTTTTACCCATAAGTAAAAAAAAAAAAAAAAAAAGCTTATCACATGCATATTCCTTTTTTTTTTTCTCTCTTTTTTCTTTTGGCCTTTTATAGACGAGCAACACTTTTGTGAGAAAAATTTCTCACATCTTAATTAGCTAAAAAACTAGCTTAATTCTCTTATTTTGAATCACAACAATTATTATTTTGTTAAGCATGCGATAATAAACGATTATCATATACATTTGTTATGAATAATTATATAATAATATTGTAAAGACCCTAAATAAGATAATATTAAAAGGCATAATATATATATATATATATATATATATGAGTAGATAATTCTCATTGATTTTTTTTTTCTCGTGATCAACCTATCTAAAGTTTTTTTATTATTTAATAGACTATCTATTTTGAGAATTCCACTAGAATCACAAATTTGTACCGTGATTGACTGCATTTAAGTCGTTGTAATCTATTTATTGTGGCGTTTAAGTTGTTGTTCCGGTAAACAACACATGCTTATCTATCATGTTAATGTTCTTTCTAGATTAAGAAGTCTCTAATCTCATGTCATGATTGACATCTGCTCCATATAAATGTTCATGTATGGATGTGCTTATGAAAAAAAATCCATGACATATATAATCATTCACATGAATATTTTCATATTTAAAAACAACAGTTGATTAATAAAAAGAAAAAAACAATTATTATGATAGAATAGAATGATTGATATTAATAGTAAAAATTACTATATATTAAAAACGATAACCGTTTATTAATATGCATTTCAACAATATTCATATATTCATATCAGATGTGTACAAAAATCGTTTATTATTATATATTTAAAATAAAATTTAATTTTTAAAATAATAACTGTTATACCATAAGAAATTTCGCTAATACAAAGTAGGGGCTACGACCACGTTTCTTTTAGAAAACTTTTTCACTCTCTTCGTACAAAAGAAAAACTCTTTTTTATTTATCGATTATCGATTTTCTTTTCACCGGTGGGGAAAGCAATAGATCTCCTACATAAAAAAAAAAAAGAAAAAAAAAACCGATAATTTCCGCGTTCAGTCGAAAGAAGTAATTATAAAACACAGAGGGAAACTCACAAACCTCTCTCTTTTCTCTCTCTATATCGTCTGAATCTCTCTCTCTCTATCTCTCTCTACCTGGAGTCTGAGTTTTGTTGGCTGTTCTTCAACTGCATGTTCCATGGCGGCCAAAAAGCTCCTGATTTTATCGCTCTTCTTTGCCCTAGTCTGGGCCTGCGTTAGGGCTGACGTTTCGACCGGAGGAGAAACCGAGGTTGCTGGAGTCGTTGGATCCGACGGCTCCGATTCTTCCGCTCTCAAGATCGAGTTGGACCAACTCAAGTCTAAGATCCATGCCCTTGGTCAGTTTCACGCTCTCAGATTTGGATTTTCGTTGGTATTTTTCGATTGGCGATGTCGAGTTTGAGTTTTTGGAGTGATTTCTCAATGCGATTGCTTCGCTTTCGCTCTGCTCGAGAGTGATTTTACTTCTTTTTTTTTTTTTATTTTAATCGCAGAATTTGATTTTGAAAACGGAGAATTATGATAGAGGGGAAAAAAGAAATTTGTTTCTTTTGTTAGTGTTGGGAACTAGGAAGTAAGTTTTTTTTTGTTGAGTGAATTTTGGTTTTGGTTCACCGTGAAAAAGAAAGAACTTGGATTGGTACGGTCAAATAAAATGATTGTATGAATAAGTTTTCGCCAGAACAGAAAAGGACCTGCGGATTTTAGTGTTCTGATCTGATTTCCCCATTAATTTTCTCTTTTTCTGTTTTCTTTTTCGTTTTTTAATTTGGATTGAATTGGAATACTGTTAGTTATCACTAGTGGTTGTTCAGAGTAGTTTCTGTTCGACTATTAGGAGAGATTGTTTTATGTTCACTAAAGCCTATAAACTTTGGTCAAGAATCATAACCACGATTGAATCTATAAAATTTGAATTGCAAAATTAGCAACAGTATTGTTTTCATTATTATACTGAATTCTGTTGTATGGGGGCATTATGGTAATTTGTGAAAGTGAACAAGCTTTTGGAGAGTTCTATATATAGTCTTGAGCAACTGGGGCTTGGAATCGTTAATAAAGAGCAATTAGCGATTTATTTGTTTTGTTGTGAATGGTGCTTCTAAACAGTGAACTGTGTTTAAGGGGCTGTCCTGGTTTGTGACACTTTTTATTTCTTTTATTATGTAGAGTCCCAAGTTGAAGAGAAAACTAAAGCATTGAAAGGGAAGGAAGGTATAATAGCGCAGAAGGAAAAAATTATTCAAGAAAAGTCGGACAGTATCTCATCCTTGCATAGCGAGATCGCGTCTCTACAGGTTCGGGATTTACATCAATGTTTCTGAAATCAATACTCTATCAGTCATTCTTTCACATTTTTCACACCTCTGTTGACTAGTGAAAATGGTAGAAAAATCTTACTATGTCCGTTCGAATTTTAACATATTATTTACTACTTTACTTTTTAGAAAAAAGGATCGCTAGATGTTGAGGAGCGGGTTGGAAAGGCTCATGCACGTGCTGGTGAATTAGAGAAACAGGTTAGTTATGGTTTGAACGGCTTATGTACACTGTGATATCATTGCATCTTTGTATAACTTAATCTTCCATGCAGGTTGAAAAACTTAAACAGGAATTGGAGGAACAAAAGAAGGAGAAAGAGGCCTTGGAAGCTCGAGCAAATGAAGCGGAAAAGAAGATCAAGGAATTCGGTTCAACAATTGAGAATGTATGGCTACTTATTTGAATCTGGTTAGGGGCGAAAGAGTTTTTTTGTGACTTTAGATGTGTCTATGCACCCGTAGATTTCCTTATACCTTTTAAGATATGGCATTTATAAGCATACGGCCTTTAACAAGTATATGGATTTTACGCACTCTCTATTTGAACATTTGTAACTTAAGTTTCCATATTTTAGTAGTTTTTCTGTGAATCATTTTTGTGGTAATGATTTGTAGTAATCTATGGTAGTATATGTGCTGTTGGGATTTTTTGCCTCTGTTCCCTTTGTTGACATTTTTTTGGTCCCGGCCATGAGTGTTATGTTTTGTGTCTAAATTAAGTTTAACTTTACTTTATATAATGCTAGGAAATACCAAGAATACTTGCTGCATAAGTACTGTGAACATTGTTTATGAGATTGGATTCTGAGTAGGCTTGGACTTTCTTATTGTTCATTTAATATCCACCCACACAAGACATTTATTCTGTGGGACAATAACATTGCCGTCATTGCATTCCCCTTTGTTCAGATTATCAATCTGATTATAATATTGCAATCAAGACTTCCATGGCTTTAATCTAGTGGATAATAGAATGAAGGTAGGTTTCCTAGTTTTCCTCAAGTAAATCTTGTATTTGGGATGTAATTTTTTTTGTTATTCAAGTGTGCTGGATACCTTTATTAAGAATAGCAATGGTTTTGATAGCTTATGGGCACTGGACAGTAGAGATAATTGTGCTTGTTGATCTTTCTTCCACTACGGAGTTAAGTAAAATTTGAGAGTGCATTTTCCTTTCAGTTGGATTACAATATTTCTTTAGATTCTTTGAAGCTATGAGAATATACACTGTTGTGCTTTCTTGTTCCAATTTGGATATAATTACCTTCCAACTTAAATTTTACTCCTCTTGGGTTTACATAATGGACATTTCTTTCTGTTGCAGCTCCGGAAGATTAATGATGAACAAAAGATGAAGATTCGTAAAACTGAACGTGCTCTTAAAGTGGCTGAGGTAATTTAGCACCTGCTGCCAAATTCTGTTAGATGCTTGTGATGATTCTTATATGCATTTTATTTTCTACTTTTTTCTTCAGGAAGAAATGGTGAAGGCGAAGTATGAGGCTACTTCAAAAGCAAAAGAGTTGATGGAGGTAATATGTTAGAGTGACTTAGTTGTCATGTTCTCCATTTTCTGCTCTCCTCTTCCTTGAAATAAAGTTTTTCTTTGAGCATTTAGTATCGTCGGAGGTTGGAACCTTTTGAAGTTGTTTCTTTGATAACAAATTGGTTATTGATCAGATGACTTCTTGTCTGACGTATGGATTTAATTTAAGAGCTGATTTATGTGTTGTACGTCTTCACCATGGAGTTGAATCACAAATGTGGTGTGTTAAATGTGTATCCCCTTTAAATGTCACTACATGGTCATATTCTAGGAAAGCAAGATGTGGTCCAACTGTAACTGTGATTATATGCTCGTAAATGTTTTACATCCCAGGCATTCACATTATTTGTTATCTCTGGAGCTTTATATTAGTGCAAGGACACTAGTTTAGTAGTTTACATTTTGATTTATTACCAGGTACATGGTGCATGGCTTCCACCTTGGCTTGCTGTCCATTTGATTCAGTGTCAGGTAGACATAATCCAGTGCTCGTTATTTTCTAGAAGAGTCTTTTCATGCATGTTCTGAAAATATTATCAACTTGCAGTCTCATGCTGAAACTTGCTGGAAGCTGCATGGAAAGCCAGCGCTGGAAACAGTGATTCAGAAGGTATTACTGTTGGATGCTGCATGGTTGGTTGGAATTGTTATATGATGTCTTGAAAATATTTGGATTGCTAGTGTTGTCTGTTAGTTGGTTCTAGGTTTAGTGTCTATAATGTAACGAGACTTTATCACTTGGTAATATCATGTTCCCTATTCTTTTAGGCCCTGGAGAAGAAAGCCCAAGCGGAAAAGTGGGCCGAACCTCATGTGGAAACAATTAAAACTGTAAGTTCCTACTCCACCATTTTTGCTTAGAACATTTAGATTATGACTTTCACTATTCTGTCTGTGGTCTTGAAATTCTAGAAGCGATTGTCGTCGTTTTCATACATATTAGAAAATTAAACTCTTTCCAACGCTATTAACCATGTGTCTACTTAAGATCTAAATTTTGGTCGGTAAAACTTACTTCCAAAAAATTTTATGGTTGGTTGGCAGCTTGTCACAATTAAAAGATAGGAGGG